AGAATCTTACAGGCTGGGCGTGGTGGCTCACGCCTGTAATCCCCGCAGTCTGGGAGGCCAAGGGGGTGGATCACCTGAGTTCAGGAGTTGAAGACCAGCTTGAGCAATAGCGACACCCCGTCTCTACTAAAAACAGAAAAACTAGGCTGTGTGGCCAGCACTTGTGGTCCCAGCTATTCAGGAGGCTGAGGCAGGAGGGTCGGTTCAGCCCAAGGATGTGAGGTTGCTGTGAGCCAGGCTAATGCCACCTACCTAGAGCGACAGAGTGAGATAATGTCCCTCCCCCCCAAAAAAATTGGAATCTCAAACATAGATGGAATTCTGGTAGGAAAATGTCTTATGGTGACTCAAGGCTTTACTTTCCTTCTCATTCAGATTTCACAGTGTTAAACTGTGACTTTTCTCAATTTGTTTTGTACTTTTTTCTTTAGTATTTTTGTCAAATTTAATACTTTTTCTTTTAAATGTGATACATCTAGATCCCCCCTTAGAGATATTTTTAAGCCTTTTATTCTCTTTTAATTCATTCCTTTCCTTCTCATGCTTTGTTTATTTTGCAATATTTTTCTTATCGTCTGTATTTTAATTTCGTGGGTCCACCTGTCCTCCTGGGCCTACATTTATGTCACCTTTCACAAAACTGTACTCCTTGTACCAACTAACGTCAGGAGGGTGAAAGCTGAAAACAAATGGACTTTTCCTTGGAAAGTAGAAACTACCCCAGATCCCTCAGTCTGACCTGCGCCTCCAGCTCACAGCAACCGAGGGGCTCCCGGGCCCCAGATCTGAGGCAGCGTTTCAGGGAGACGCCAGTCTTGGTCAGAAGCTTGTGCAGCTCAGACTCTCCTGTATCCAGGGCTGTCCCTGGGCCTAGTGTGTATATTCCCTGCTCCGCATGTGACTTCACTGGTGTTTATTATCTTGTTCCTTACACACTTCCAGCTGTAAGGAACAGATTGCACAGTTCAGCTTTGTCACAGCAAGCAGTGGAGGGAACACCAGGAACCTGTTCTCCTGCCTGTCCCTGGGTTTCTCATCTTCCTCTGTAGCACAGGAACATTGCTTGGGCTGGAAAAGGAGGACCTAAGCCAGGCCTCCCCACACTGCTTTAATTAGCTGCACAACCTTCAGCAAATACTCTGGGCAAGATCAGTTGCTTTGTCTAAAACGGGGAGAGAGAGATTCAGACCAGATGATTTTCAGGTTCTTATCTCTCAATTAAAAAAAAAAAAATCCATGATAATGGTTCTGTGACTCTGTTCCTCTTCACTATTTCTATTTTAACTCTTTTTTCTCTTCATTTAAAAATTTTCTTCTCAGGGCTCCACTCAGATGGTTTCTTTTTCCAACATGGTCACTGGCTGCCCTTCCCCTGCCCATTAAATGTTTCCGGTTTTTGTTCTTCTCTCCTTTTACCGACCTTGTTATTCCTCTATCGTCTTTCCTTTTCTGAGGTTATTGAAAATGTCCTTCGATTGTTATATTAAAGCTTTCATTAGGAAAATGTGGTCTTTACCCTTCCTGAAATTAGTAAAATTTTACCCTTTCCTAAAAGGATGCGTTACTGTAACAAAACACAAGAATTTATAATTCAGAACCCATGCTTGACAGAGAATGTTTTTGAAATCTTTTATCTTTTGCTTTCTGAGTGATTTTTTTTTATTTTGCTTTCTTATTTTATTTTGTCTAAACAGAGAATGGACATTCTTTGAAGTCTAATCATGATCACTACAGATGAATCCAATGTACCAACTTCCCAACAGTCTGTAGAGCATTAGAAGATTTTTACATTTTGAAGAAGGGGAGTGAATCTAAAAAAGTTTTGGTTGAACTTTTGAGAACTAATTTATGATGAATTGTGTTGATTTAGAGCTTAAAATAGATGTGTAAGTTTGGGGTTGCAGTGGAGACTGAGCCCCGTTTCGTCGGGATGGTATGATTAATTTTCAGCTCATCTAAAGTTTAAACATAATATTCATATTTCTGGCCTTTGACTTGCCATTTTCCTGGTCCTAAAACACTAAAAAAACTTGTGACCATTGCTGTGATTACATATCTATTCAATATCATCAGATATATAGTAGGGATATTATAACTCAGTGAATTCTAAAACTACAACTTCTGACGCTGAGTATAGAATGCGGTCAGAGTATTTAGTGTATATTTTTATATCCAAAGTTTTACATCCTAGATTCTCTCATAGACACTTGAGCCTACAAATTGACCCATTTGGCTGTTCTTTGGAATGTCTTATAGCTTTTTGTACGTAACTTTGGTCAATCTGTGACTTTTAATTTTCAAGAGCCTTGAAAATGGCTTGTGAGCTAACTTCTGTTTCAGTTCAGAGAAAGCCAGAAGTTGTGGTCTGTGCGGTCCCAGGCCAGTGGGAGTTACAGTCCATACTGGCATGTCCCTACATACCCAGGTCAGACTGACCAGATCAGAGAAGAACCCTGGCCTCCAGGCCAGGCCCCTTGTGAAACTCTTGCCTAAATTTAATTTATTTCCACTGAAACATCCAAGAGTTCTGGAAGGCAGAGAAGTGAGAAAGGAGCACAAGAAAGGAAGTCTCTGTGGAGCTTTTACAAATGGTAATAGCTCGTGGTGAGGACGGGACTTTTCCAGCTGAAAGGACACTACTTGCTTGTTCTATGAATTTAGCCAAGTGTGCTGTGCTGCTCACATTCAAACACAACCAGAGCCTCTGTGTGATGAACACCAAAATATTCAGATTTAGGACATACGTGGATTACTCACATTTAGATGTTATTCATAGTTTTATTTGAATGTAGAAGTCATAGCTAAAAAATAGGAAGAACCTGTCTTTCTCCTTTGTTGACTGTTAGCAGATGTCATTGGAATATAAAATATATCTGTGAAATTATGAAAGGATATTTTTTAATTCCCACTAGTTGAATTAATACATATTTAATATGAAATGAGACTATTCTAAAAATTTGGGTGTATTATTGAAAATTTTTATTTATTTTTTTCTTTTTTTTTGAGACCGAGCCTCAAGCTGTCCCCCTGGGTAGAGTGCTGTGGCATCACAGCTCACAGCAACCTCCAACTCCTGGGCTCAAGCGAGTCTCTTGCCTTAGTCTCCCAAGTAGCTGGGACCACAGGCGCCTGCCACAACGCCCGGCTATTTTTTGGTTGCAGCCATCATTGTTGTTTTTGGCAGGTTCGGGCTGGATTCGAACCTGCTACCTTAGGTGTATGTGGCTGGCGCCTTAGCCACTTGAGCCACAGGCACTGAGCCTATTGAAAATTTTTAAATGAATATACTTTTAGTAAGGTTTTGTGACCTATTGAATGAGATATATTCCAATAACACATGAGGATGTGATTGCTTATTAATTAGTGAAATCTTCCATTGGTATACACTAGAAGACAAGTACGATATTTGGTTTCAACAACTTGCTACCAAGTATGAAGTTTTAGAGAGCAAGAAATATACCAGACATGTCATTTGAAGAACATGTGTGAGCTTCACCACAACCTATGGGTTACTTGTATGTTTTTTTTGTTTTGTTTTCATATTGATAGCATCTAATTCCTTTTTTTATAACCTTAATTTCTAAGTTCACTTAAATTTTAACTCAATTAAATGCATGTGTAATAGAAACCTCAAGAAAAACATCAAAATGAGAAAGCAAATATTTGAAGGAAGTTACAAATCGACAGATACCTGTCAGAAAGAAAACAGAAACAGCTTTTTCTCTTCATATACTATCCTCATAAAATAACATAAAAAGTTGTATAACATTAACACAGTATTTGCATTTTATTATCTTTTAATACTTATACTGGCCTATTTCATTACCATGTTTAGTGTATAGCATATTCTTATGTAATCACTAATATATTTCACTTAAGAGTTCAAAACTATTCTAAATAAATTGTATTTTTATATGGAATATACACGCCATCATGAGAAACAGTTGACTATAACGTGATTTCAGGCAATAAATCTAAATTCATTCTATGAGTTTAAAAATTGTACAATTTAAAAGTGAAATTGTGTGTATGATATAGAAACTGAATACATTTTTATAGGACTTTTATTTCATGATGTTAATTTTTCAGTGTGATGTATCGACAATATTTTGTTATTTTTGCATTTATTTTTTCAAAGTGTTACATTGTATGAATTGAGCTTTTTGCATGCATATCTGGTTTGTAGCTGCCTGGCAGGCTCTTCGTGATGTAACCATCATTCCTATAAAAACATACCGTGTGCATTTGCTTTGTGTGCTTGTCTTCATTCCGCATCTTCCACAGAACACGTGTCCCCGTGAAGTGATTTGTAAGGAAGAATGATTGACAGGTGTATGATCTTCACGTTCACCATCACTGTTTTCAACAATGAGCATTTTTTTTGGCTATTTTCTTCAGACAGACAGTCGAGGAAGATTCTCAATGTGATATGAGGCAGATAAATTCTTAACTTTCCGTCACAATTATTTTACCTTCATCTCATCTTATTTCATAAAGTAATTATTTTAACTATCTTTGGACAAGTTAATTTGATCATTTTATTTTATTTCATTTATTTTTTCCTATTTGGGGCTTAAATTTTCAGCTTGTGGAAATGTAATTTGCTATAACATATTAGGGATTTTTTTCAGAAGGTAGCATTTTCCAATTACAGAAGCCGGGAGCTGGGCACACACAGACACTAATTTGTTTCCACACGATGCCATGAAGCACGTCCCCAGCACATTCTGGCAGATGAAGGAACTGCAGAGTGGTGAATGTGCTTGTCCATGGTCAAAGAGTTAGAAGAACTCAAGCCTAAGTCTGTCTTCTCCCACTTTTAAACACTATCTTAAGCTGCATCTCCCTTGAAATTTTCAATATATCTGTTTCAACCCCAAACTAGTTAAATTTGTGGTTGACCTAATTATTAACCTTCCACACTTCCATTTCTGCAAGTGTAACATAATGAAGCAAAAGTCTTAATGTAATAGAGCATTAAAATGTGTCTTTTCTTTTAGCCAGAAACGTTTGAGCATCTTTTTATCAAGCATACAGAATCAGTGACGTTTGGGCCTCTTCTTTTGGAGCCTGAAACCATTTCAGAAGATATCAGTGTTGACACGTCATGGAGGAGTAAAGACGAGATGGTGCCAGCCACTGTGCTCTCCCTACTTTTGAGAACTCCAGACATAGCAAAGGGTTTTGTTTGTGTTGGAGATCCGGGCAACAGTGCCAACTTCTCTCAGGCTGAGGGCACCCAGCTAACCTGTGAAGATGAGGAAGGGAGGCCACCCTCGGTTAAATACGCCACGCTGGTCAGTAAATCAGGTGAAACAGATGAAGAACAAGAGCTTATAAATAGTTCAGTCAGCAAATGCTTCTCTAGCAAAAGTTCTCCCCTGGAAGAATCTTTCTCCAGGAGCTCCTGGGAGATGGAGAGTCAGGCGTTTCTGGTGTTAGCAAATCAGCATCTGAACAGATTGTTGCCACACCTCACGTTCTCAGGACTGGACGAACTTTTAAAACTGGAGGAAAACTTCCCTGAAGAAAATAATGATGAAAAGTCTGTGTATTACTTAGGGCTCACCTCAATCAGGAAGAGAGAGAGTGATGTGTTTTTGACGGAGGAATCCAGTGTGTCCTGCCCATTCCCAGCCCACTGTTTACTCACTGACATCACAGTCCTCCAGGACAGCTGCCCACACTTCGTGGAAAATAATTTCAACTTAGGAACTTCTGGGAGGAAGACGTTTGTCTCTTACATGCCTCAGTTTCAAACTTGTTCCACTCAGACTCATAAGATAATGGAAAGCAAGATGTGTGACCTAACTGTGTAATTTCGTTCAAGAAATCCTCAGATTCACATTATGAGTCATATGAAGAATAGTGTATAATATTACTTTAAAGATGTGTATGTCACTTTATAGATGGGAGAGAGAAAAGAAAGTGGTCGGAGTCAAATTTGAAAATGATAGTTTCAGAGTTAATGTGTGTTTTCCCTGTGTTAGTGGTATGCACAGAACAGGTGACAAACCCTTCGTGAGGCTAGCAGTGCAGACGGACGGACTTATAACCATGCTGTTCAGAAGCCCTAGTGGGGAGACCTTTTGTTTCTAGCTGGACATAAGCTAACAAATAACAAACACCAGCTTTTGTGAGCATTAGGCCTGTGTGGGAAGAGCTGATCTTTTGTATTACACCTGCGTCTGAAGCAGGCGTTGAACTAACATCTGTGAGATGTAATTGTTCTTTCAGAGACGTGTCTGTTTCGCCTTGAGTTAGCACTTTGTTTTGTGCTAATTCTCACACACAACACACATGCACACAATTTTTATCTAATAGGGCTCCTTGTGCATTTTGAGAATATGTGATGTGTTTGTACTTTGTGCTACCAGACTGTGTGATTTGAAGTAAATACTTCCCTAAATGTTGAAGATAAATGGAAAATTTAGCCCTGGTGTGAGGGGGTTATACTTGTGAAGACTCATTAGGTAAGTCAGTTGTTATGCACCAAATCTAACGCCCAGTAGAGTGCAGCCACCTTTGAGAATGGCAATCCCATAAGCGGTATTGTGATGACCACATGGCAATCCCGTAAGTGGTATTGTGATGACCACACGGCAATTCCATAAGCGGTATTGTGATGACCACACGGCAATCCCATAAGCGGTATTGTGATGACCACACGGCAATCCCATAAGTGGTATTGTGATGACCACACGATACTTCAGAAATCACATGATCAGTGTTAGTTCTTCTCCCTAGAGATGTTGAAACTGTTACGTTCCTACACGGTTAGACTGTCAAATGTCACTGTACACGACCCTTGAATCATCTGTCCTCACACCCACTGGCATGTACACTGTTTCCCCCCCATTGAGCATTCTCTCTATATAAACCAACCACTGTGCTAATAGTTTATATACTTTAAATAAGTTAATTATTGCCATAATTGCATGAGGCATGTATTACCATTATACCCCTTTCAAGATTAGGAGATTGTGTAATTTGCCCCCAAGCTTACAGAGTAGGTGATGAAACAAGAATTCATATTTAAACTCAGATTTTTTAAAGCTAATGATTATGTTATACTCCTTACATTTCCATCCATTAAAAAACTGATTCGTAATCACATAAAATATATTAAGAAGAAATACAGTGCTGGATCAAGAAATAAGCGGGAATTGCATAAATCTCATGCTTGCCTTTCAAGACAAGATTAATGCCAAAGTTTATTAGTTATTCATTTCGTATGGCAAGAAAATGCAGAAAATGCCAAGAAGGCCTGTTGGACAACCAACCCCCAAAGAAACCTGCACACAGACGTTCAGTGTTACGGAGCAAGAAGTTCATGGTTCTCAGTGTCCCCACAATAATACTTCAGTGCTCAACAATATTTCTGTGGGTTGCTGAACATCATTGGAGTTTCAAACTTAGACTGAGACAGGACTCCGCTGATTTCACTCTCATTGGAGTGACATGTCCATGGCAGATGGAGCCATGCGTGTGTGAAATGCAAGTTCTAAGTGGTGACAAAGACACCAGGCCCAACTGACCACTATTTTTCACATTTCATGATATGAGTGTCTGCTATTGAAAACTCAGTGGAGCTGTTTCATGTCTTAAGGATTAAGAGGTTTCAGGATTTCACATACTCAACTGCTGACTCTCACAAGGAAAAGGTAGAGGGCCTATACCCCTCCACAAATTATGTGGCAGGAAAGACTCAGTTCTGTGCAAAGATGAGGGGAGATTTTTCTCACTGATTATCAAGTGACTTTAGAGATTCAGAAACAGCCAGATTGTTACATGTATGGGAATCTCCACAAACTTGACTATTG